GCTGTTTCGACTAACAGAGCATGAAATTTTCAAGTAGTCAAAAGCTACCTNCAGCTTCACCCAGAAACAATCAGAACTCTCCGTTTTGTCATTACTTTATCCGATTGTCATGACGAAAGTTTAATTTACTATTTGGAAGTCTTCGGAATTCTCCAAGTGGGGTGCATGGCGCACTCTGAGAGCAATCAATTAAATTAACAGCGTGCCATTTGTCTATTTATCCATGATATGATGGAAAGAGACATAAAGAAGGTTCTATTTCAGTTGGATTGCACCCAACGATCGTCAGTTTGGAATTCACCACCCAAACGTATCTGCACAATATTGAAAGAGGTATAAACACTTTTAATTACAATTTCTTCCAATTGTTACTGTATGTTCCTTGCGTGCTAGTGACTTTGGAATTGAGCTGGAGCTTCCACTGCTGCTCATACTTTCAGGAACAAATTCGTCGAACTCCAGTCATGGGAATAAAAGCTGAGGCTCGTCGTCTTTCCTACATTAAGCACAGACAACTTCGGCGAAATCAATCGACCCTTTCAAGACGATCGATCCATCGAGGAAGGAGGGCGTGGTTCCACAAAAAAGAACGCCCACTTGCTCATAAAGCTGCCGGAGTGAGCGAGTCGCAGCGAAAGCATCAATCCGGAGTCGAATGGGCCAAAACAGTTATAAATCGACTATCATTCAACAAATTATTTAGGAAGTAAAGTTTAGTGTACACTGTATGATAGTAGTGCTCTTGTCCTTCTCACTAATCCCGAATGATTGTAAATATATGTAATTTATATAGATCGTTATTTAGTCACGTTATTTAATAAATGTAATAATCATATTCTCGGACTTCCTTGTTCTTACGAGAGAGAGAAAGAAAATCCAGTTAATTGGCATTTAAGGTGCTGACTGTGACCGTTAGCTAGAACTGCACACGTTAATAATCAGCGAGTTTGTTGTTGGAGAATAAGTAAGCTCTTGCCTCTCCATGATAGTGCAGAAATCGCCTGAAGAGAGCTCCAGGAATGAGTTTCAAACCGAATGCGTAAAGACAATCAAGAAGAGTTCCTTAATTTTGCAGCTTTTGTTTTAGCCGGGTGTAGGTGGCGCAGTATCACATACAGGCAGTCCGGGGTTCGAATCCCTGATTGATATACGCCCTTCCAAGCCTTCCATTCCTTCGGCGTCGGATACTTGGCGCCAGACTCGTCTGGAAGAATAAAAGCACTGGCTTGTACAATGACTCACTGGCCACTGCAAGACAATGAATAGGGCAAATACGCATTCGAAACGGAACTAAGATGGTAAATGAAAGCATAATGCGGGGCGCATCCCGAAAACGGGTTGATTAACGCTTTATCGTTTCCCCTTCACTCATATCACAGCTGAGAACTGTCGAGCTGAGAACCGCCATCCCCACTCTTGTATTCGAGGCTCCCCTTATACCATACATGTCGTTATAAGGGCGAAAAACGTCCTGGATAGGGCGCAATAAGGGACCAGAGCTTGTATCGTGTGAATGCCACACCTCTAGTGGACGAGCTTCAACGCCTTTGTAGAGGCTGCACCATTCACAAGGGAACCAATGTAGGAACTTCAAACAACTTATCATGACAGATAGACAGTGAAAGGCTGTTCTGGACAGTTATGGTTTGATGTAGTCAGCTGTTTGGGAGCAAGTTAAATCTCGTCCAAAAACTTCACATGCATTCCTGTCACGGTGATCTCGTACAACCTCCACTTCCACCACTTTTAAAAAGCTTTAAGTATGCGGATTCTCTCGTTTTCTTCGCCACCGATGTACTCCTCTACACCAACACTCCCCCTTCTCAACCTAAAAAGGGTTTCCAAATTTATGCGTCCGTGCCTTCAACGGAAACGAAACAACTGAAACCCTAAATGGCTCTCCAGGAATCAGCCCCTGAAGGATCAGTGCTTCCTGGGTTCTTCAGTATGAGAGCATAACGCATTCAATGTCCATTTTGCTATCTCCAGTTTGCATGAGTTCAAGCGGAAAGCCTTTTGGTTGCCCCAGGAGATCTCGCAAATAGTGGCCCAGGCGCCAGGCCGTGCAAAATGATCAGATGCTTTGGCAATGACTCATCTGGGGCTTTCAGGGCGTGGCCACGGACGGACGGGCGAAGTGCAAGCAAGAAGAGTCGATCGACATCCACAGCTGTAACCTACACCTTTTCAGTTTGTACTTTAGCTGAACTACTCTTATTTTTGGGCGATTCGGCCAAGGGTCGCTTGAGAAAAATCGTTTTTCTTACCTCTCCACCGCGTGTTTGGAGTTTGCTAGCTGGGCTATTCTGTGATTTAGCACACGTTGCGAATCTGATGGTACTTATGATAACTTTATCTACTAACTACTAGAGATTAAGGATTTTGCGTCTGAGCCAGGTAATGAATTCGGTTGTCGTCAAGACCTGCTTCCTTGCTTTGCCTCCCAATGTACAGTATTATATGAAACCAAAAACATTACCAAGAAAATAGATTAGGAGCTTCAGCCAAAGATTTTTGGATGTGTAGGTCGGAAAACGATGGGAAAGAAAAGCACATACATACTCTTCACAGGCCAATCCCATTCTAGCCCACTTCATTTCTGGACATGACAAAGATCGTTTCATTCGCTTCAAGGCTCCTTTTCGATTCTGGCTTAGATGGAAAGAAATTCATCTTCCTGGCTCAAAATCGTTTTTTCACCCTACGCCAGGCTGATTCAGCCAGTGCCCATCCGTCACTGCGCTCTAACTCATAGGTAAGAGACGCAGAGCCACAATGCATTGGTATACCTTCAGCCTTCCTGCAACCTCCATTTTTATCTATGGGAATGGTAGTTTGAGTGGTAATACCATTGCGTCAGTCGATCACACCTATTTCTTCATTCATCAGCAGTTCATTTCGGGATTTTCATTATTCATGAGCCAACAGGCTCGTAGAATTGTCCAATTTCTTTTGTGGACAGTTTTGGTGTATGAGTTGCTACATGCAATCGCATCGAAGGGTCGAAACTAGGCGACCACCTTCGTGGCGGCTTTTGTCAGTCGTGTCGGGACTCTTCATCCTTCACACGGTGAAGACGAAGGGTCTTGGCCCGAAAACGAAAAGAAAAAAGGTAACTTATGTGTGGCCGCAGTGCTCGCGAGCCAGATTCGGCTTGTCGACAGCGATGGCATGTGTCAATCCATCCCCACAGAGATTAAGTCCGATTGTTACAGCCTGTAATCCTTCGTGACCGAATGGGAAAGGGAGCTTACGAGGGAATTGCTTTACCGAACACCTTGTTAATACCTGTGGGTGAAAAGACTTCGGGCGGCTGTGTAGGAAAGGGGGAAGGTGCGACAAATCCCATTGCCTTCACTATATCTTTATTGTATCGATCTTCTACCATCAATTAATCTGGTCGATGAAGAAAAAAAANAAAAAAAACGGTGATTGATTCTATTTCCGCAAACAATGAATGGGTGAATGTGAATGTTTTCTGGCCATTGATTTCGAATTACCACTTGTGTGTCGGCGTAAATGGAAACTTGACAGTTGACCACTGTTATCTTCTATCAGATAGTGTGAAAAGTGATTTTGAGATTAACGTAATCGCTGCAAATACGAGCCCAGCTGAATTAGAACTTTCGAGAACCGGGTGACGTGCAGCGAATGAAGGACGCTGTCGACCCCTTGGTGACGGTGTAGGATGCGACTACTACAATCGATGTCACGGCGCCATTGGATGAGGCTTAAATCGGTGGGTCTGACGTTTTACTCCTTTATTCTCATTTCATTTTCCTTTTTCTCCTTCATTAGTTTGTGAGTTTAAATATGAGACTTGAAACTGACTTCCACTTTCTAGAAATAAAAAGTATATCTGTTGATATTTGATATTGTTTACAAAAGCAATATATTTAGTTGTGTTGGTGTAGTTGTGTGCTTTTATATTTTTTCACTAGATTGGTTGTATAGGAAGATCTTTTTGATTATATTTTACCATCACATTAAAGAGATGATCAGCATAATAAAAACGCGAAAAGGAGTAAACAACTCAAAAGTAGCTTAGGGTAGAAAGTGGAGCAGAGGTAGATTTTGAGTTTATCGTAAAGTTGTTTTAAGCTTTCGGAAAGGGTTTTATGCACGGCCAAGCTGGTCAACTTGAAGCTGCCATCACTGTCGAAGTGCATGTGTGTTAGCATAGTCGAACTGCACTTATTTTGTAATTTTCGTTAGCACTACTTTTGAAGGAAGCCCTTTATCTGGACCTTGGATGAAACTAGCTCAGGTCTTTTACTTGTGGAAATCGCTGTGGACTCAGATTCACCGAATGAAGTGGTGCAATTTCAGATGCGTGGTGGAGGCTACCGTGGTGGCCCTCGTGGTCGAGCACCATTTATGCCCGGTCCGACTTTCCCAGTTCGTCCACCTCCGTTCGATGTTCACCTTGCCAACGACGTCTTCGTTCGTATAAATGAGAATAACGACGCACAGCTTACCCAGGTTAATGCTTATTCCATTTTGACTCGTGAACAAAGTGAAGGTTATACCGGAGAAGGTCGCTTTTCTTGTTTTCTCATATTATCTCATGGGGAGATTTACGAAAGTACAAGAGAACTTGTAGCATTTATGTAATGTCAGGTTCTGCTCTTTTTGTGAACCTTAAAAGGGGCAACTTTAGCTTCCACTTACGACATTTTATGCCCACTATAATTTTGAGAAGTTGAAGGTCTCTTTTGTTTAGAAAATAGTTTTTTGACTCCTCCGTCTAAGATTAACTATTTTACTACATCGACGTTATATTTCAAAGTAGGCTCATTTGAGGATGTCGTAACTCGAGCCACTGCTCTTACTCCCACCGATGCAGAACGTACAACGGTTGCTTCTCTTGTTTTGAAAGTAAAAGCAGCGATCGAGAAAGTGATGACCACGCCTGATTGTATACCGGGCGTTGTGAGTGCATTTACCTTGACTTTTTCCTCCTAAAGGGACCCAATTCCGAAGCAACTGATACATTGTAGAGATTCGAGGAATACCGCGAAGTCGGGTCATTCAAGAAGGATACTGCTTTGACCGGGAATACTGTTGCTGATATTGTAATTATTATGCAAACTCTTCCCACATGTTGGTTGTTTTCCTATGTACTTCTTTTTTCTTGTTTTGCATATTTTTTGTTGAAAAAGTGTTTCAGCTGTTTAGCAATTTTTTCCAGTTGAAGCTGTAGCTGCCCTGGGAAACAAGCTTGCGGAAGAGCTTCGAGCACAGAAGGAAGGTTGATCATCTTCTTCAATAATTTTCAAATCATAATCCTCTTCGAAACTATTTACCCTGAACTACTGTACTGGCTTCTAGTTGTTTCGTGTGTCTCGCGTGACTACGGATGTCTTTTGGCCGCTGCCAACGCTCAAGTACGCATTCTTATAACGACGCTCCCTAGTAATGCACCCAATTTGGAACCAGATCTCCACTGTAAGAAAGTGATGTTCCGTTTATGCCATCGGCCACTTTGAGGAGGTAGTTTTTCTTTTCCAGTAGCGGAGCGCGTCATGATGATAAATCACCATGCACTACGTCACGTCGTATGGTTTGAAGAAGCGACTCTGCAGTCTTCTTTCAAAGTGAGTGAGCTCGGGTTTTGTGATATTCTTGCCATAGACGTACGGCTTCTTTCCAGATGCTTGTCCGTGTTCTCAAAGATATTCGAAAACGTTACACTGGCCTTCAACCACTTTCTGTCTGGGTTATCGAGTATTTGGTTGGTTTCGCATTGATTAAATTTGGTCACTTTATCAAAGCACATAGTATAAAAATGACCCATTACTTTTCTTCATTTGGTTTGCCGTCAGTTACCTATAGATTTTCGCTTCATTTTCTTCATATGTGTGAACAGGAGTTATTCATTTGAGGCGCATTTTGCTGTGATGAACACGACGAATAGGCAACCATTACCCTTGGGTCCAGCATTCAGAAGAGTTTTCGAAGCTCTCGCCACAGGTGAGCCAAGTTGTCTTCAGAATTCGATAATGCCTTCACTTTGATGTAGTTTTCCTTGCTGGAGAGCCCGATCATTGGATCAACCCCTGAGTTCTCTGTTTTTGGCCAGCTTTGAAGTTATTTCAAATATACCATATGATACACAATGATAATATCGCAAAAGCCCTTGCTTCAAGTTCTTGATTTAGGAATCTTTCTACCTGGAAGTCCCACACTATTCGACCCAACTGAACCAGGGATGCGGATTGCTTATGATCTCTCCTTTGAAGATATGGTAAGTTTGCTTTTCCCTGTTTTCTGTTACACTTTCTGAGCGAACCTTGTTATTTAATCAAAAAAAGAATTGGAAATATTCCTAGGATCTCGTATGTAGTACTGCACAAACCTTACTTCGAGTCATTTGTAATGGAGGACATGCAGCTGTGCTTGGATTGGACCCTTCGAAAATCGGAATTGGTTTGTTCAAGTCTTACACTTACAAATATGCAAAATCTGTCGGGATTGTGGGTATCGCCATGTTGCCCTTTTTCCGTTAGTTCTAAATGAAGGATTTTGAAGGGTTATTCTGCAACACTCCTTAATTGACGTTCGAAGAATGCGATGAAGAGGGTAGGGTGGAGGGAGAGTAAACGGGTCTGGTTTCATACCAATCACATTACTAAAGGCGTTATGTGGAATGAAGTGCTTAAGTGCTTACTTATTTACCCGAAATTCAATACTATTTCGCTTTCAGACCTTAGCAAAGAGGTCTCTGTATGGAACGGTGTAGCGGTGTCCCCTCTAGAAGTCGCTTATGTCGAGGATTGCATGAAACCGAAGTTCTGCGAAGCAGATGAGGCATTGGAACAAGAGGCGAGAGCGTGAACTTTGAGTCTGAACTGCTGCTCGTTAGTTTTTCGTTGTTCTTCTTCTATTAATTTTTGAAGGATATTGTTGGCGTGAGCTTTGTTCACAGGTCTAGTATCTCCTTGTAAAAATCTAATTACATTTGTTTTCTATCTATCACACTAAGTATTCTGCTTTTTTATTGATGTTTTTATTATTGTTGTGAGAACAACTGTGTTGTTTCAAATGAAAGGAAGCAAATACATCATGCAAAACTACTGTATCGTACACTAACAAAAGTAATCTTGGATCACCTTATTTCTTCTTGACATTAGTAAGTGATTTCGGGAGCAATGTTGATGACCGTTCGCGCTCAGGAGATTGCTCTTGTTGCTTGTATTTCATCGAAAGTTCTCGAAGTCGTTGTTCCAATGTGGAAGGCTTCTTTGCTTTCTGAAACATTCCACTTCTAGTCCAAGTATCCGTAATTCATTATGGGCCATAAAATCAGTTATGCGTGCGATGGGTAGTACGGTGGCTAAGGCAGTTCTCTGATCTCCGGAGGAAAGATTCAATGAAGCAAAGAGTGCTAACAGGTAAGTCTGTGGGAAATGGAAAGTTGAATTAGATGGTAAGTATTCCGGACCGGAAAGAGAAAGAGTTAATAGGCCGGATGCCTATTAACTCTTTCTCGTATTAGTCATAAAATACTCTATGAAGGATACCAGCACAAGTTAATGAAACTTTCCTTGATCGCATCTGTGAATCAGTAAATATCCAGCAGAGTAACAAATGTTACGAGTGATTCACTGTTTATTCACATGCAGAAGCTCTTACGCTTAAGGCACAAACTGTGCTTGCCCTATCCAACACCCTGAGTAAATTTTCTTCAGGATATATAAACATAAGTGAACAAACAGCGGTGATAATTCCTTAAAACTGCTAGCAGGAATTATTCCACAATTGCCCTCCCCCCGTTCTCATCTTTCGAAATGGTTAGTATGCAAATGTGGACTTGGATTTTTTGGTTCGTGCTTGAGAGCTACATTCATTTCTAGCTCTATTCAAGAGAGCTTTCATTATCATGTTGTTGAGAACCTTGCAAAACTGAAAATGTTTCAGTATTCAATCGTATGTTACTGTACACTTTGTAAAAGCGTGATTACATCAGGTACTTCTCTCGCAGAGGGTCTGTGCACGGATGGCCGAGTGGTCTAAGGCGCCAGACTCAAGCATACACTTGTCGCGCGTCAGCGATTGGGCATTCTGGTACTCGTAAGGGTGCGTGGGTTCAAATCCCACTCCGTGCAAATATTTTGCAAATTTACTTAAAAAAAACTTCGAAAATGAGTAATGCCTTCTTGGGCAATTTCCCACAACATCCAAGGACTTAATGTAAAATGTGAGGAATGTTCTTTCTTTTCACTTTCCTGTCGTACTTAGTTCCATTCAAATCAAAAGCAAGTAATTTGAGCTGGTTACTGATTCACTATTTTTTGTTATAAAATAATTATCATGAACATACATTGCTCAGTGGCTGACTGCGCCAATTTTTCTCTCTTGTGGGGGTGAGTTCGGCCCCCGGCGATTGCATCAAATTTACCATTCGAAGTCTGATTACGCTGACGATAACCACCACATGATGAAGATGGATTGGTAGGCCTTTGGAGCAATTTCCGTGGAATATTTTTCGATCAATATTATTTTTAGAACTAACCTCAGGAGAGGGCCGCGATGGAGTTTCGCTGCTTTTTGCCTGCTCCGTTGTTTTGTTGTCGTCATTCTTCTGCTGTATCGGTTCTCTGCCATAAACATAGGCCGTCGGCCTTCGCACTGGCATTTTTCGCTTTTGAATTCGGCTCGAAATGCCATGATTCGATGACGTGTGAGACTGAAGAACTTATGAAACGTGCTGACACATTTCAGAAAAACATTCACGAGCAAGCATTCATTTCATAGTCAAAATAAGGTCCAGCATAACAATGTTCGCTCAGGTCTATAGCGCTCTGAAGTGAGAAGAAATCCAAGAAATGTTAAAAAGCCTTTTCAATATAGCTTCTCTTGACAGTATGCTAGCGAGAATTTTGGGCAAGCCCTTGCTACCGTCGCCTTTATGAAATGAAAAATGTAAGGAACCGTCGGACACTTCAGGATGATTATCATCCGCCGAAGGGTGGGTAATAGATGATTAATTAGTTACATCTCACAACTTCCTTCAAACCTCAGCAGAGCTTTTGTCTTCATCCTCAAGAATAGGAGCGCCTTCGTCATCACTTGATTCGTTCAGATCGTCGTCCGGTAGACCGGCTTCGAAGTGGACATGCACGTTTTGCTTCGCCATTCGTTGGGGAACATTAGTTTTTCCTGAAGATACTCGGGAAAATGGAATGAGTGAAGGCGCTTCGTTGTGTTGTTCGTGACCAGCATAAGACAGGTGACTCCTAATACAAGCTTTTAGATCGAAATCACCTATTCCATTCAGGGTTCGTCACTATATTATGGAGCTTTCCAGAAATTGGCCGGTTTGATATGCTACAGTAACTCAACTCTACGGTATCTGGAGAAGCGAATAGCTCACCCACTGATTCCCCAAAGAGTAAGACTCGGACGACCAATATAACGAACAGAAAAAATTTGGAGCTCGGTTTAGACTAATCAATTAGCTGTGTCTGGAATGTAGTAGCGAAAGTGCTCTATAGGGAATATCTGTTATTCTAATACGTATTGATTCGTCTTCGTTACAAAGTTTTCAATCTGTACACAATGGTTTTTACTTAAACTTCAGAAACGGAGGAAGAGGGGTAGGGAAAAGGGTACTGAGGCCTCATAGGAGTAGGACCTTCATGGTATAGAAGANAGAAGATAGGTGAAATCGTTCCGCGGGATCCTACATACTCCAATTCGTAATCGAATGGAGCCTCGTTATTGTTACGATTATATTTTACGGAATCTCAAAGTTGGAAAATTACTTCTTTAATTGAGAATTACCCGATGCAGTAGATGATGCGATTTACAAATGGTAACGTACCGATAGTTTCCTTTGTGGGAGCAGAGGGAGCAGCCATGTAGGCGAGTCAAAACAAAAACGTATAGTGTTATGGACGATGAGATGATGTGCTGTGAAGTGAAGTGAGTCAGACGTCAAAGAACAAGAGAATGAACATCTGAAACATGACAATGCGCTTCATCGAACACACCCGGGTCATACAGAACTCGACAGATGTCGTCAGTGACATTTCACTCAGAGAACAACTGTAAAAACTTTGGAGGGAGAAGAATTCTGAGCAACCATAAGGATAGTTCTCAATCGAACTGTCTGGAGCAAATCGGGTTTTCCATCATCGGCAAAAATATGCATGTCATTTGAAGATAATGTGCTTGACGGTGTGAAAATTTCTCAGAAGATGATGGCATGAGGTCAGGAACCTCAATGTTACAAACTTTTGGTCTTCATCTAAGATTGCAGAGTAATTCGGAAGCATCTGTTGGTAAAGTCCATCTAGGATGATGGGCTGTGATGACTTCTGGTCCGGATTATGAACACGCCGGGTTCATCGGCTGGGCCAGGTCCTTCGCCATGGACATGGACAGCGCATCGCCGCTGTATCATCCCCACCATGATTAAAAACATGCTATGAAATGCAAATGATTCAAAAAAAAAGAAAAAATAGTTGGTTGCTCAATTGAATGTTGAAAAAAAGGGGTAACCCTCACCTCATTCTTTAAGACTACTGGTTACTTCATGCAGTAGGTAGGGCACTAGCTGAAGTAGAAAAAGTCGATCTGTTCATGTTTCTCTCAGTAGTAAACAGATTTTAGGAAGATAAATTGAAAGAAAAACTCTCTTTTAGAAGTGAGGAACACAATTCAATCTAACAAAGTTCTTTTATACTTTCTCTTCTATCTACTTATTGGAAATAGAAAGCTTATTGTTCAATTTTGGAGCAAAATAACGTCACCATGGAGATTAATTATAGATTATATGAGGTGAAGTTAACTGGAGAATGTCATGAACAATAGAGTCCAGTGGGAGCATCGCGCTAGTCGGGCTCAATAGAAAACACCTGTGACGACACTGGGATCGAAGCCGTTTTTTTGGATTCTCGATGCTAAACTGAGGGACTGGGGTTGTATAAATTTTGTAGCCTTTCAGACTACAGCTGAATGGCGCAATGTTCAACAGCGATATGATCTTTGATGAAAGAGCCGATGAGAAAAGTTCGTTCAAAATGACTGTTTCATATCTCACATCATATTACAGCAATGTTTTTTAGGTGTAAAAGAAATATCTCCGGCATTCAGCGATCAGTTCTAGAATCTTGTTCTGAACCAAGATAGAATTCTTTGATAGAGGAATGATCTGGAACAAAATTATTGGAACACGACTTTCTCGGTCCAGTAGATTTAGCTTTCACGCAGATACACTCTGAACTATTCAAAATGAAACTGCTATGACGAAGAACAAACCCAGCGCTGTGTGGACCAATCAATTGGAGCTATAAATGGCTTGGCTTGTTGTGTGGTTCTATTCTCAAAGCGTTGTACCAGAATACAAACGAAGTATCTTTGCGAATAATAGGGAGACAGGGAATAATAGGGAACGAAATAAGGCAGAGAGAGGGGGAGTAGCGTCGGAACATAAAAATTCGAAGCTTTTTATAAAAATCAGTTCATAGTGGGTCAACGATCTGATAGTGGGACCTTAGAATTTCCTGCATTGGCTGCTTTCATAGTACGCCGGCCGGCCGGCCAGCCGGCGCGCCGGCGTAGGCAGTGCTAGGGTTGAGGAGGGAGGCAGACAGTGTAAGGCAAACAGTCCACGCCCCTTCGAAGGTTGTTTGTTTTCAACCCCTCGAAGGGGCATGGACTGTTTGCCTATCTGTCTGCCCACCTCCTCCTCGCTAGCACTGCCTCCGCCGGCACGCCGGCCGGCCGGCCGGCACGCCGGCGGACTATGAAAGCAGCCATTGGCATTACTTGATGCATTGAAAGGACTGTTGTTTATCAATTTTTCTTGTCAGATTTGGCCACGCGTCCAGTTTCCATCTTCAATATTGGAATCCATCCAACTTGGACAATATATTACAGAAATCTAATAATGTTTTTATAAGTATACTTTTTTCAGCTAACGTTTTCAAATCGACTAGAATGCGAATTTTCTCATAATAAAGTGGGAGGTGGTGTAGTGGCAAGTGGCGCACTATATCACACGCACGGTCAGGGGTTCGAATCCTGAATAGATTCCCGCCTAGGCCAACCAAGCTTTCCATCCCTCCGGGGTCGGTCAACCGGTTACCAGACTTGTCTGGGAGGGTAAAAAACACTGACTTGTGTATCGGCTGACCACCGCAGGTCATTGTAAAGGCCACATGCACACTCATTACGCCACTACGATTCTGAATGGAAGTCGAGTGCGGGGGCACATCCCTCAGACGGATTGATTAACGCCAAAAACTTTATCCTTTATCCTTTAAGTATACTTGTCCCCAGATATACCAATATTCAACGTTGGCGCAATAGTAACTGTCTGCTTGGATGAAGTTAGATTTGGCCTTCAAGGTATTGCAGTAGTATAAACTCGCTTATTTCAATCTCTAGGCCTTATATAGAATAAAGGAAAGAAAAACAGAACTCACGAGGCATGCATAAATATAAGATATATGTATGTTTAACAATGTAATATAAAAAATACATGAAATAAGAGCGGAAACTAATTAAGCTGGATCAGCATGTGTATGGCCAGTAGTAATTCAAGCGAAAACGGGGATGCAGGTGCAAAACAGGCTCCTTGTCATCATTAAAATGATCTATGCTCTACATATAGCCATCGATTGGAAATATGTTACTGGGCCTTTTGTTATATGGGATATCAACTATGCAACTATAACAAAGTTGACAGAAGGGCTCTCTCACAAACTGTGAACTCATGGGAGTGAGAGAGGAATAGTTGAAGAGTATCGGAAGGTCTTCAAAAAAGGAGGGAAAGAACCCCGTTTTGTCACTACAGTTGCAAGTTCAGAAAGAGTGACTTTAAAGGAGAAAGTTGAACACATCATGCTGGTCTCTAGGCTATATTTGTTACTCTGGAAGAAATCTTAGAAGGTCTTTTTATATGATAAACCAAGCAGTGAAAGGAATCTGTTCCTAATTTAAGTCCGCTTATCGCAATAGGGGTTTCGCTCTTCAGCACCGGTTATGGTGTTTTAATTGGGGTAGCCTTCCTTTTTGAAGCCCCCTCATCACCTATTGGTTCCCTTCGTTCACTTAATTCGGTGGAAGGTAGCCACAGCTCCTCATAACCTCAAACGAATCACTTCATTTTTCTATCTTCCAGTTTTTTCCAGGCATTTACTAAGGCAAAATTAAAAAGATCCTCTAAAAGAGGAAGAGCCGAGAAGGTACGAAACAGGTGGTGATAAGCTGATTAATGATCGGTCCAAGAGATCGATAGAAGAACTTCGCCATACCCTGGTTGCGAACACTGCATTCAAGAGAATAGGTGGCATGGACTTAAGGGTCCCGATGGCAGGGATCAGACGAACTACAAAGCTTTATTCTGATTAACAAGTCGTGCAGAAAATAGTGCAAATATCTTCATCTGCTCAAAACGTGATGCCGAACTTGGAACAGATCTCCTCACTCATCGTCCATAGGCGATCCTGCTGTTTGACATCCGTCGAGTCAGCACTCAATGAGGTGATCCTCTGAAATAACTGATTGAACATGGATGGAAGGAATTAGTAGAGCAGATATTTGCTGGTGCAAAGATACCTTTCCACGGTTATTGAAATACCCGCCGGTGATATTCTTCACTTCCTCAGACATTACAAGATGCACCGGTGCCACGCTTCCGTCCTTCACGGGTCCACCAGAATAACCACCTCGTCTGCAGGAAAGCTTCACGTCAAGTAGGTAAAAGTACAAAGAACTTCTTGAGTGTCTAGGACTGAAGAATGAACGTACTTGAGAAGTTTCGTTTCGCATACCCCCGGTTCCAGAACGTTCACCGTTACTCCGTCGGATTTTTCCCGAGCCAGTCTGAACGCTGTCATATGATTCATCAGTTTGCTACGTGAATACTGCAAATAGGCGTCGCCGTAGTTGGTGGCTTGGAGATCAGAAAAATCGAGTGGGTACCTGAACAACAGAATAGTGTCGATGAACCTTTTAGGTAATACTATTTAAGATATAAATCTAAATCAAGCATAGATTATCAGCTTTACATCTGTTACTCAGCTCCGAGTAGTTAAAAAACGTCCACATGGCTTAGGAGGAGGTTAGGTATCATTGTGTAAAGCTAGGAGGCATTTTTTGGTAATGAAAACAAATCAAAACAGTGAAGGGTTTCGAGAGCTCGCCCAGAAAACTTCCTAGAAAATGTCAGAAGGGACTGCGGGTAAGCTTCCTGCTACTATAACGGAGGCTGAGACCCCAGCGTATCACCAAAGGATATGCTTAAACTGGCTCTAGAATGGAAGAACAATCCTCCACTGCTAGTTCCCTCGTCTCCCATTTCCTCACCCGAATCTATCCTTCGTCAAACAATACTTTGCTTGTCTCATTAATTTGCATAAGCCCCTGTCACATATGAGTGACAAAGCTCCAACGCTGACCAGTGCAGGTATGAAAAAATGGACATTCATTATGTCGCCCATTTCTTGGCACTCGTATCACTCGCAATTAGCAAACTGTTAGTTTTTTTATGTAAAGAACAATGTCAACCTTTTACATCAACGAAAACTTCAGGCTCACCAATCATAGCATATGCTTGAAACGAAGATGATCCGAGATGGCGAGTTCTGCTGAAGTAGTGGACGCAGCTGTCGACTGATGACAAAGTGTGATAGGTGGTTAACCTGCAGAATTCCAATATCAGCGGAATCAATAGAACACACGACGGGGTTCAAAATTTGGGTCTATCTGCTTCCCCAAATTTCGCTTAACGGTGTGCATAGCGCTAGGTTGTCCTAAAAGCAATCAGTCGCTGTGGCAAAGCCCAAGTGTCACGGGTCGCTTCTTAGTAGCTGCTCATTTGAGGTTCATCTTCGACAGCTTCGCCCAGTGTCCAGTCGAGGACACCATGAGGCAACAAAAAGTACTACGAAATAAGTCTTTTATTAAACGTATATATATACAAGCTGCAATACACGTCATGAGAAGACTATGTCCTCGTAGGTAAGAGTAATGAGAAAGGAAGTCAATAAGTCGATAAGCTAGCGATCAACGTAAAAGCACGACTAGAATACCACATGAGGAGAAAAAGGAGAGAGAGCGAGAGAGGGGGGGGGCATGAGTCGATTAGAAAAAGACCGCATTGTAGATGCACGGCGCGACCAAGCAATCTAGGTCTTCTCGTTTATCGAAGAGAATTTCCAAGAGAAGGACGATCAATGGACGGACAGGAATGCACTAGCAAAATGTACACTATGTACAGAGTACTAGATTGATTTGACTATGATACAATCACTCACACACACGAATACACACAGATAACACCTGTCATTAAAGTCGAACTTTTATAGTCAAACGAGGAAGAGAAGTAAGAGGAGGAGGAGGAAGAGGAGGAGGAAATAGGGAACGGCGAGGGTTGCTGAGGGCTGTTGCTGTCAGCTCTGTTAGATATAACCCTTAGCAAGATCAGCTGAATACGCCCAAAGTCGCTCCTGCAGCCGCTCGTCAGTCGCCTCAGCTCCAGACCTGAATGAGACACAGTTATACCGCCAATCAGAAGCTACCAAGGGAATTTATAGAAGTCAGAATAAGATTACCTTTTCAAATACAAATATACTGCAAAATTTTACTTTTGGACACTCTCGCTTTCCCATTGTCGTCGTCAAACAACCTCATAGGAACTTCAACAATTTTTTTTATATCAAACAGTTATCATTTTTCTTGTAAATCAAGGATACCTCTCCCGCCTGTTTTTCTTTTTTCTTTGTAGCGTATGAAATCCAAGTTCCACAAGACGCCCTTGTACACATAGACCACGACGCTGAGACTAGACTGGCCGATTTGGAGCGTTTGCAGGAGGGAAAGGAGGGTTTTTGTAAGTTGAAGAGGAAATAAATCACATGGTAGCCCCAAGATGACGCTCATGGCTCCATTTGCCAAGAGTGAGAAAAACCCGGAACCAATAAAGATGGGGGAATCGAGCCGAACTGAGCATCGAATTATTCCCCATTTACTCAAAGTTGGTCTTTTACTAGCTCAATCCTACGAAGGTGGAGTTATCTCGAGCACTTCCCAGCTGTCGTGAAGTTTTGTGGCAAAGTTTTCAAAGCCGAGTTTCACCACTAAAACCCTTGTAGACACATATTCTTTCTTTTACACAAGAAGCCTAATAGGATTCAATAATGTGAACAAAATTGCTCCCTTCGGTGCGCCCATCAGAGTTTCGCTTTGCGGTGGCTATGCCTATTCAAGTTTCGGTCCGATTGAACCCATTCCGTTGTTCTCCATTACCACCCGCTGGGGTGCATGGGTGGCGCCGGTTGGAACCAATTCCTACCCATAAATGTTGTTAAAACAGATTCTTTCGATTACAAAGTGGTTGGCCCGCCCGGTCGAATTGACCACTAACTAGTTGTACACAATGAGGCGGGTTTAACTCAGGAATCTTTCACTTACGTCTCAAGAATTAGTAGAACTAAAATTGGGCACATAGATGGAAGAAAAGCTCATGAGCTGACGTCAGAAAGCACAACTTTTTTTCCGACCCTTGGTAATCATTTCACTTACCCAGGGTGCTACTCAACTCAAAACGAATAGTGGCCGCTTATACAGGTATTGAAAAAAGTCCATGCCTACAGTACGAGCCGTCCCGACATGCCCATAGCGGTTTACCCGAACAAATCAATTTCTCAGGAATACACTGACTTGTATGGATCGAATTCCTCCTTTGCCAAGATGTCAGTGCACGCTAGTCTTTTGCAATCAAACCATGTGTTTATGTAGGGTAAGATTAGGCAGAGGAGGCTGGATTCTCAGTGCGTCTTAAGACAGTTGTCGTCACTCCCAATCTTCGATCGGAACCTTCCCACGTAAAAGAAGGGCAATAAATTCGAAAAAAGCAACCATCAAACTCTGCGCTGCTCGGGCTTTTCCTGAGATTTCCTAGCGAAATGACCCTACTCCTATTCGAAAAGGGAAACTAACCTGATTTGCTTGCCCATTGAGTCCAGATATTTACCGGAAAGTGTTTCGAATGCTGGATTCTCAATAAGTTGCACCAAATTCCCTGCTGCCCGACACATCGAAAGTGTGGACATTGAGCTTGACAAAGCCGATGTCGTGCGCCTATAAGTGATTAGATGTAAAATTATGGATATCCTTGGAAGGGCTGAAAGACATTGAAGGGAAATACCTTTATAAATTCAAAATTTTCCAAAGTTTCTGCCCTATCTCTAACAAATATTTATTTCCTGAATGGTCCTCTTCCATCTCAAACATTTATCATGTTCTAAAGCTTCGAACTTCCCAACGAAACTCCATAATGAAAACCAGGATGAGCCATGCTTTTCAACGAATTACCATATAATCAGTCGAATTGTGGGTGTAAACCACTAAAACTGACATTTTGCCGTTGTTGTTCGGTTCACGTTCCTTGCCCAATTCCACGACATTTACTGCCACATTCCGTCGGGCGATGTTCATCCGTCGATGCAAAGCGAACGCCATCAAATGTAGGCAGAGTTTGGATCGGGAATACACCAAATACTTCTCATAATCCTTCTTTGCCATCACGTCCGACCAATCCAAAGCTGTCCTGAAAGGCTGGCACAGTGGAGAGATCCGCGATAGTAATAAAATGAGCAGCAGTAGAAACAGAAAGGGTTACATGACAATATTAGATTTCTACTTCGTTTCACCGCTAAATATGGCCTGAATATCCTAAAAGAGGGAGCTGGGAGCTTTGTGGCAAGTTGGGGAAATATAGGCNGGGCGATAGCCGTCATAGAATTAGTTGAAATTCCGAGGGCTGCATTTGGAAGGAGCTACTGAACTAGCCAGTATTTCGAAGTTTTCCATGCTATTGAGGTTAGCCTTTCAGGCCTTCAGGAGATGATCACCTATGCGTAAACATTTTACAGAATTTTCAAAAAAGCATTCCCTCTAGAGATAATGTTGATAACCCGGAAGGCTTATAAAAACACTGGAAAAACTCTGCGGCCGGCGCATAATCTCAAGGGAATGCCTCAAGATGAGTAAGTGACGACATAGTCTGGGAAGCCCAGAAGCGCCACAACGACTAGTGAGGATATGCAGTCGAAGGTCTTACCAGCTGTGTAGAACACTGCCGACCACCACTATCCTTCCATGGTTGTTTCGTTCCAGTACATCAACCAAGCGATTGCAGAGGATGAAATGAGACAAATAGTTCACCTGAAATGGTCTAAGCCGTAAGTAATTGGTAAACACGGGGTACTCAACACGAGCAGGGTGACAATCGAACGACACAACAATCAACGCGACAACAACACCGCAAGAAAAACAACGAGAAAACAAAAGCGAGAAACAACACTCCCGAGACTTTGCAGGCCAACGGGATGCACACGAAAAATTGAAATCGGAGTAGCTCGCTAGCTTTCGCATGTATTTGTCTAGCAAGATGCCCAGCTAACAATACGGCCATAGGCACGGGCTCCTTAAGCTGCCAAGGATCGGCGAGACTCGACTAGCGGAATATTCCTCATCTCAAAACTTGGGGGTAATTACTTTACCACAAGGGTACTCTCTATTGGATGACATACTCTTGAATCATTTCCTGTAAAGGATTACCTACCTATTATACGTCTTACCTTTAATGAGAGACCTGGAACCTACACACCATTTGTTGGACAAACCTTCCCTGATTCTGCCAACCACCATACTCCAAAAGACCCGGAACAACCGCAACGAATTCACTATCCCATGTGATTCAACGCCAATGGAGAGATCCATAGAATATATAGCTGAAGGCCATTAAAGTTACCAATAGGGCAAACACGAGAAAATCCGCAGAAATCCAGGGGAGAGATCGAAGGCAGAACATTAATTCGATAAGGCACTTTCTACAGAATGAGCTCCCAGAACATCTCCTCGCACTTACGTAGCACCTTCCACTCACACGCTCTGGCAAGAGCTCGGAAGGAAGATTGATTTGCATCGAACATTCTGAAGGAATCGCGCTGGAATGAAAGAGCCCCAGTGAGCTTACATAGTCAGTGCTAGCATTCATCGATGACCTAAAGCTTTAGAGAGAAACTCCCTTGGAAGCCAACAATTTCCGCTTTTCAGAAACCTGCAATTTTCTGGTTCCGGCGCTTTGATGGCACTATTCTCAGAGCTGGAACGATGGCCAGAGAATGAGCCTATGAAGAAAGAAAGTCCGTGAAAAACTGTGAGTGGACGACGAGACTTAGGTTCCAAGCGTCGAATCGTAAAGCTCACATTTGGTCGAGCCACAGTCACAGAGGAACTGGATAGAACTGCCGAGCAAATCAGGTACCGTCACTGCCAGACAATAGTTTTGCTTTTTAGATCAACTGGCTGTCATAGTCAATTTGATGGCCAGATGTAGACAAATAGGACCCAATCTTAAATCTGATTTCATTTTTTTTGTTTGACTTCGAGTAGGTGTAGAGCCGATGCCATTACATGATCACAAATAGACAGTCAGCTTCAGCATGAAACCCCCTCCCCCATCGAGAACGTACGTTCCATCATCCCTCGGCCACTGCTCACTCACACCCATCGCTGCCATGCTTTTGGACGGCATCCAAGCTCCGGAACAAACACAATTGCTGACACAGCTGAATACCCCAAAGGGTTGGCAGGCACGCTTAATTGTGCGACGGCATATTTTGAAAACATGCTCGCACATATACACACACGCTACAGCGGATTTGGATGTTGCTGTCGGAAAATAGCAGTGTTCTCGACAACAGAAAGACGGCGGGTGTTGAAGATATTTTTTCCGCTCGTTTCTGTCGGTGACGTCAATATGGGTACCCTCAAAAACCAGTTTGTAAGTCTTGAACAACTTGCACTTTACTTCACAGAAACAGTACCATAATCCTCGCAAGAAGGTGAAACTTCCCAGTTTAGGATGAGGACGACCTGACTTTTCAGCGTTCAGAAAACGCATGCGCCTATCGGACTTAACAGCGGGGTCTTACTCGAGTCAACTCGGACCGACTGCAGTGAATGGACACCAGTATCCAGCTTGTTTTGCACATTCACTGCACGATTCATCAGTTCATTAAGCATGGAACGGAGCTAACGATGGCTTTCTTTTGCCATTACATTCTTAATTAGGAAAAAATCTCCGCCGGCCCCGGAAAGCTACAGAAAGTAAAGCTCTTGCACATTGTTAACTGCAGGAGCATCCTTGGGCAGCTCTTTGAAACAATGGTTTCTCAATGTTCATGAAGTCCAAAAAAAAAAGAAACATAAGCGGCTTAAGTCTAAAAAGGGAAGCTTTCCATTTCATCAAATGCTGAAGTATTTGATGTTTGAGGACCCGATCAACAAAAATACGACCTCGACACCACGAGATACTCAACGAATGTTTATACAGACTCTTTTTGATAGCGAACTCAACGAGTCTGACAACTCGGATGTCACATGAATGGAGGCATATGCCACTTGCTTTCCAAGAAAAGCTGACTGGCATGGAACTTTTGCATTTTCTGAGCCTCAAAGGTTGTAGAGATTCAGGGAAACTCTCAATTCAATCGTGAAAAAAATACTACTTCCCGAAAAATACCAAAGAATGTGTATAGGAATATTTTTTGAACCTCCCTCTACTTCGACGCTGTGAGAAGTAATTATTCAAAACATGAAGTGTCGGAAAAATTCGCTCCGTGATCCAAACTGAGCTGTGGACTGATCTCTCAAACACTTTGCGAATTTAGGTCTGAGCGTCAACCTATGGGGGCTAAATCTTATTAATTAGCTCTGACAGCCAAAACTTAACGAATGGCACCAAGGTATTAGACAGATTAAAGTTTCCAATGTCAAGGGTTTTCTTGGTTTCATAACATTTGCATTAGCCATTAGAAATTTTCCAAATCAAAGTGCACGTCTGTAACTTAGCCTTCCCTTTTTGAGGTCGGGAGAAAAAAAAAACTTCCGAGACGTTGTCGAGTCTCACTCTCAAACGAACCATTGCAATCTATGCAAAGAAAGCCGAGGCCTCATGCTATTGCAAAGAGCAGCATTGCGCTAAGTGGGGAAGCAGATAGAAGGGGGAGTTCGAAGCCATGCAAACCTCCACCTGGAATGTCATTTCGAGTCCATCCACTGTCTCTGCTCGTCGGGGATTCAACACGCCGGCATTGCATAATAGCACATTCAATTCCGGAAATCGGCTTTTCACTTTGTCGGCAAAATGGGCAACCTGCAAAGTTAAATTTTGCATTTCATAGATGACTCTCGGTATAGACAGGGGTAAGGTGCGAAAGAAAGCGAAGCAAGTATCCAAGCAGCGTCTAAACCATTCAATTAGAGGTGCATACTAGGATTGTTGAGTATGCAGTTGCTTTGACATATTGCAAGAAGGTTTGGACAATCCAACTGGTTCGTAAAAGGGGCCATTTCTAGCTTTGATTGGAACGAGTGGAAGTCAAACATTAAAAAAATTACCCAGAGTTCACAAATCTGATAGACCACTTTCGAATTCATTCTTACCCTCTTCCTTTCCTCCCTACACGCTGAAAACTCATAACTACTTCGCTTTCTCTGTTGAAAAGCTTGAGCAATCAAAAAAGGCCCTATTTAATTCCTGACCGTCTCCAATGACTTGCAATTGTCAACATGCGAGAAAGGGCAGCCGGTCTATTTTTCTTTTGGGCGCTTTATCACATCATACACCAATTAGTGGCAATCGCGGCGTTCCTGGATGCCCACTAGGACATTCTTCGAATTTCTCCAAACTTAGCTGAACAATAGCACAGCACATGTTTTGAGCGGGGCAATCTCACACATCTCATGTTGTTGGTGTCAAAGGCGACGTTTTTTCTTCTGCAGTCGAAAATAAGCACTGGTTGACTCATCAAACCTTCGAAGGGAACCTTTGAAAGTATCGTTGAATCACTAGGCCTAGCGCCGACCGAACGCTGGAATGATTAGGTCCAACGGTCGGTCGGCAGCCCACTAAAGTGACAATTTTTGATGGCAGTGAACGGGGCAGCGGAGGCGTGGGAAGAAAATGATCTCCCTCCTCACGAGCTTGAGCCGAAAAAAAGCATATAGGGCTGGAATACGAACTATCGAGAAGCTGCCGAAGAAGAAGAAAGAAACTACCAACCTCTTTCATAACGGACAAATCAGCGGCAATATAGTCGACATTTGTTGGGTTTCCGGTCTCCTTGACGATTTGGTCTCGAGTACTCTATAAAGTGAGATTGAAGACAATGTCAATTCTGAATTCCTTTCAGATGAAGTACATCAATAATCTCAATTCAAAACAAAACTTTCTGCTTTTCTTTAGAACGCAAGACGTTTTCAAACTCCTATAGGCAACCCTCACAATGAAATTCTGTGCCAGATTCCCCGCTGAACGGAAGATAGGGTTAGGCTTTGCTGTGCTATGCAAAAAAGATCAGAAAAAGTGGGCATGTTCGTCGAAAATCCGTGAAAAAAACTCGCAGACACTTCTGATTTGTCTGACTGAGCCATTTGTTCACGACATGAAAAATTCTGAAATACGCTTTCCCTGCAGTGCTTCATGGGTTGACCTGTGGGACTAGCGAAACTTAGGAGACGGGAAGTCAAAAAGATCCGATAAACTCTAAAATTATCTGTGCATGACCGAAATTACAAAAAATATCACTACTACAGATGGGCAGAGCTTATCAATAGCTCAGTGAGATCTAATCCATTCACTTCATCTAGCTGCCACTTCCGAAGATTTAACCTGCGATATAAAGGACGTATTGGAACGAAGTGCAGGGAAGCGTTGAGCTCCCCAGGGAGGTTTTCCGATGATGAAACAGACTTGCTGAATCTGTTGCATGCACATATTATATACTATCCAGACCGGGCATCGAATGTCGAAATATCCTCAAGAAGACGGTGTCTTGAAGGAGAAGAAAATTACCTCGCATTTTTCTTCACTTCGTCCATGGATAATGACTCGATTATCCGGATGAGCGGCCAAATCGGTGGCCGTCTGTTTACCGATGCCATCCGTCGAGCCGGTGATCAGAATCGTTCGTTTGAACGATGACACTGGCATCGAACGTTCACCAGCTGCACCTCGATCGGTGATGGTGGTCTGAAACTAGCCGTAGACTGTACTAACCAATGAATGGTCGATATCGTTATGCAACAAAATGATGGGCTCTAAGAGAATCCACGAAAGGGAATTGCTTCGTTTATTGCAATTCTCATACGATAGAGACGATAGAGGAAGGACAGGCAATAGAGAACGATTACTTCGAAACAAAACGACATTGGATTTCAAGCAGTACGGAATGATGAGAAGAAGTCTCTCAACCACTTCGAAACTTTGGAACACAGACCTGGATGACCGAAGGATAAGGGATCAAAGATTTTGAGTATATTTGAAAAATATCAAATGAATAAGAAATCAAAACTCTTAGTATAATCATTCATTTGATCCTCCTCCAATTCCGACAACGTTTCCGTCATCAGGCTCTAATAATTTCTCAAAGCTTATGAAGGTGTAACAAATCAAATGAAGAAGCGTCAGTGTAGTCAATCGCTCCTTGTTGTCACTCTTATACATTTGGGACCGATCCCACCCCTCCCTCACCAGTTCACCACTCTATTGGAGTTATTTACTCGGCATAGTACAGAGTCCGGGTTATAAATATATTTTGCATGATAAATTGGTTGGCTCCCAAGGCTACTACCTCGGCCGAATAGTTGAGACGTCTCCATAACGGAGTGAAGCCGAGGAATTCCCGAAGAATTGATCAATGCTTTTTTCCTACACTCTTTTCCCCAAACGTTCTCTAATTTCCCTTGCACATGCAACAAATGAATCACCACGGCCACCCACTGTTCAGATCATTCGACAGAACGCATGAAGGCTTTCCAAAATGATTTTAAACGGATATAGAGCACTCAAATCAGCCATCCCTTCCGAGACCGCTCACCATTTCCTCTCGAATTTGCATTTCACAACAAAAAAATTAGAAGGTCAAGAATCAGATGTGAACTGACAACGAGGGCCGGAGGAAGCCATTGATCCAGGGGTAACGGAAAGTGAAGGGCTAAGCATTGATGAACAAAAAACACTAATACCGAGAATCCAACGTTTACCACCCTTCAGTTGGTCGATGGCTGCTAAGGGCAATTTTATTAAAGAAATGAATGGAATTTCTGGAGCGATTCTTGAGTGATGCAGTGCATGTCGTTGCCATTTGAATTTTCCGGGGTGAATAGACGTCTACGACAATTTCGAAGGATTTCTTGAAGAAATGAAATTTGAGCTCGTTTCCGACGACCGAGACATCTGCGTAATTTTCGACGTGTTACAGTCGGAGTGGAATGGAATTTGAGGACAAGCACGCATTCACGTCATGCACCATTAGAATCCATTTTCTTGAAAGCAGCTGGTACCCCCAATGAGAGCCTTTGAACATTCCGTTGAACAGACCATTATGCATTTATTAGATACGACAAAACATGGGAAGAAAACAACAATTGAAAACGTCGCACGACCCTCGAGAAGTCCTCATTTCCTAGTCTAACGCCTTCAATTTTGAAGATTTTTTCCAAAACCAATCGAGAAGCGAAAATGGCTTTCGTCGAGAGTCACAAGAATAAACAAAAACAGCGCTCAGAATAGAAATGGTAGGACGAGATGGGCTGATAAACGCTCAGAGAGCAGGCCATGCCCCAACTCTCATGCAAAATCATGGGTGGCTGAAGAAACTGCCAAACAGTGCGTAGTTTTGCCAACTCTTCAATAACACATGTGAAAATGTTAATTACTTCAACTAAAAAAAGCGACCTTCTTTCCAACCCACCTATTTCGTATTTAATTGGAATATTCGGCTAAAAAAAATGGGAAAAATAAAAAGAGCATCACATACAGGAGCTGTTTAACTTAAAGGTAATACTTAGAAATCAAGGTAAATAAGAGTTTCCGATACTAACAAAACAGGAAACCACCAGCTTGTAATTACACTGGCACGGGTTGAGTCTGGGTTCAGTAAAAACTCAAATCTGTGGTGTCGTTAAGGATGTGCGACAAGTGAAATAGCTCTGGGTCGAGCGACTATAGAATTGACTCTTTGATTCTTGATGCCATAATTGTCCCCAGTTTATGACTTTTACGACTTCCAGTTGCATGCAGAATAAGATAGGTTTTTCTTTTATAATGGAGGCTCCTTTTTTATAGATTTTTTCCCGAGTTCTATGGCCACGTTGGGAAAAATAGGCGGTAAACAAAGCACGGCTTAGAAGTATTAGTTGAATGCCTGCAACGATGAACATAAAAGCAAGAAAAAGATTTGAATTATATCCAGCCACAAAATCGACTTTGATTGGCAGATGGCTGTTTCTCATTTTCCAGCATTGCCAAAAAAACTCCGAATGCAGCAACTAACAAGCGAGAATGATGATTAAATTTTTTGGAACAATGGCTAAATGGTTGTTTGAAAAATAACTAGGAACAACTAATCGCAACCTCTGAACCAGTAGATGAGAAATCAATGTCGAAAACGTTCCGGGAGGCAGACTGAGAATTGATGAACTACCATAAAGCGCGGATAATAGTATGCATTTCCATAATGGGCTGCGATGGCAAAACAGCCTTAAGTAGTGGTCTGGCGAAAGCAGAGCGCTACTTACGCGGAAGCCTCCAAGAGAGAGAGGGAGAGGGACCGAAATCGGAGTGCACGCGTCCGGGAAAAGCTTCTCCACGACCACAGCCATCCAAAAGGGGGTACTTGGCGCCTGGGCAGTAGAAGAGAGTGTGGGGAGTGAATGTGATTGCGACCAGGCAGTTTGATGGTCTCGAGTGACTGGTAGACAACACGGGAGGCAAACAAGCATCAGTGCTTACGGACGTCGTTCACTGGCGTCGCCAGCAGTGCGAAAGCTGTGGGGCATACATGTCATATGAGCTACACGACGGGGAGGACGTGTGGCACGCCCCTCTTGGTGTCGAGAAAAACGCAACACATAGCACCAGCCCCATTGCAGGCTACCCCACCTGAATTCTGAAATCCACCATTATCCCATACCTATCCTTGCCCTACTATACGGAAGAGTATTGGTTACGCATACTTTAAGCACAACAAGCATTAATAAAAAAATCCCTTCGTTCTCTGAGTTCATCTATGGTTGGACCATAGGAACAGCAGAAGCAGGTGGCCTCCTGACTGTTCAGAGCTTCCCCATTCATGACTGTAGCTATGTCACTGACATTTGACAAATGAAATCGAAACGAAAAACCATCCACAGAAAGCACCACACGATCAATGCTCCACAAAAAAAAACGAAATATTGAAAATATCCAAATGATTGTATGCCAAACAACGACATTATGCTATTTTACATAGCTGAAATGCTAGTAGCTAGACGTTGCAAAATGAGCACGTCCCTGGAATGAAAAGCCCTTTCTATTGGAGTAAAGAAACGGCAGTCGCAATCGTCAGGGTGCCTCGAGTCAAGGGGTCGGGGCAGAGGATGGGCTGGAACTATGAGGGGGATGGTAGTAAAACTGCAATCAAAACTGTCCCTCAAAAAGGAAACACGACCTCGGAAAAGGTCGTATACGATCCCGGTGCCTAATAGGTTTTCTTAGCACTAAATTTGCTGAATCATTCGCAGTAAATTCAACAAGAGAATAAAAAGACTGAATGACGAGAGAAAAAGGTTCGCTTTGAACTTTGGAGACTTCGAAAAAAAAAAACGATTTCGCCGAAACGTCAGCCAATGAATTTGTTATCAATCTCGGAGGCTCAAACAGAAGAAACACTGAAGAAAATTAATGCCTTAATGAATGTTCTACAACGTCACGAATTTGGCTTCCACGAAGAAATCACGTAAAACAGCGACGGGATCCCCTACAGTAATCTCACAGTGAAATGAAATGTAACAGACGCGGAACTTCGCGGACAACAGCCTTCACTCTACGACTTAGCTTCACACACCTTTACCCTATCATGTATATACATGATCAGAAAGAGCTTGCTACCGAGTTCTAAAGGGTTGCAGACAGACGTTCAAGGCAGGACCCACTATGAAGACTAGGCATGCGGAATTTTCAACTTTTTTGTTTACGACTTAACGGCTCGTTTGCTGATAATTATGTTAGAGCAAAGTAACCTGGATATGATACGAGTTTGAGTGGCTCTCTGAATCTCTCATTGAAAACTGAAGAAACTACTCATTGGAATTTAGGGCGAAGAAAACTCTCCGTAGCAACCATTACAAACAGAAAATTGTTGGAATCGTTGCCAAGCTTCTCCTTTCTGATTCGCCACGGCTTTTAGTGGCCCTATAAAACACAATATGAATAGTACAGCGACACAATTAAGACGACGGTCGTAAATATGAAAAGTAAGCTCCAACAACTAAAGAAGAGGGAACGCTCCACTACAGAGCAATTCAGCGTTTCCGAGAAATGGCTGTAACGACGAGAGATCGACATGACAACTGATGCGACAGAATCCGTCGACAGGTCGCCGCCATGCAGCGAAGTGCATCGACAGCTGAACATGACAGTTGACAACATCCCCAGAGAGGTTTCATGTAGACGAAAAGAGCTAGGCTGCTGTCCAATGCTCACTGGGAGAGTTTCCTTCAGACTCATCGCTGTCTATGAAAACCGGCGAGCTATGTTCAGTGTAACAAAATGATAGGGGCCAAATAAGAAAATGCCACCAACTGACTGTATCGAAGCCTCGATGAGGTTTAAAGAGGCTGGGAGTATTCAACTTCGTGTAGGTCAATAAGCCCTTCGTCTTACCAATGTCAGTGAATCAATATCACATTGACATCTGGTATGGACCTATTGTCGGTATCATCGACAGTTTCCGAAAATGACCAGGCAATCCAAACACTTGTTCCAACTATTTTATCACTCCTTATAGAAACCTCACGTACATGTCCCGACGTCCATGAATTCGCCCGTCGTTCTTTATTTATATAAAAACTCAGTTTGTGGAATTCCGTTGTTGCAGTCGAATATGGCAATATGTAAGTATAGAAATTCTTCCATTTCAGAAACATAAGCTTAGCTGACAAATGGTCCAGTAATGCCAATTCTCGAACGGAGATGACTCAACCAGCTGAGGAATTGGCGAAAATATGTAATGATCGAAGGGAACACTTTCGAAAAAACAATGAACAAAAAAAAAATAGGAAGTTTGGTGATATACGACTGGAAACGAAATAAATTGAATGGGGAGATATGTCGAACTTACAGTATGATCGCAAATGGCTCGGTACGAACAGTATACGTTAACGATAACACTCTGCGACAGCCATGTACGATTAGGCCCAAAGGATTTTACTCAAGACGAGAGGAACAGATTATATCACAGAGCAATTCAGCTAGTTATACTCTACAACATTCCTGCAATAAATTGACAACCAAAGTTTTTTCAGACAAGTAAGAACCCATATTAACTGTTGGTCAACTCCTAAACCATCATTTGTTCACCTAAAGAAGGGTTAGAGCGCGCAACGTTGGTAATTGAGCTGGGAAGTTCCATGTATTCCACTTTGAGAGGATTTGAGTGTATATTATTTTTCTATGATGGAATGATCTGGACAGACTGAATTGCATGCAATGGTAACCAATTCATTCATTCTAAACATCGATTGACAAAGCCGATAAACTGAAACTCACTTTCGACCCCTTCAGGACCTCCTACCTACTTCATATGACATAACAGAACTTCTTGTCACCACCCTGTCTTCTATGTCCTTCTGATAACAGTAATAAAGAACTAAGCTCGAAAATATTTGAAAAACACTAGAAAGATAAGATGCTTGTTCAATGTAAACAGAATCGTCCTAACTACATGGAGAATATCGCTTTACGACGTTTTATGGATTGATGTTCGAGCTTAAGAACTATGATAACTATTATGGCCCCTTCATGCACTGAACTGTATCGGTACCCGTTCTATGCAAGAACGATGTTCCCTATTTAAAC